CGTCTGAGGCGCGGAGCAGGTGGACAGCTCGGCCTGGCTCATGCTGCCGCCGGGCGCGGGCCGCGGGCCGGGCCGGGGCTCAGCGCGGGCGGCGGCTGCGGCGCGGACTCCCGGCTGTCTCGGGGCGCGCCTCGGCGCATGGAGGGCCGCGGCGTCCCCGGGCCCCGCACGCCGCCTCTGGGCGCTCCGGCGCTCGGGGCCGGGGGTCGCCGCCGCGGGGACCCGCCGCCATCCAGCCGCGCCCGGGTGGGCGACGGGGGCGCGCGCTCGGCTCGGGGGCCGGGCCCGGCCGGGGACGGCGGCGCCGCGCATCCCGGTCCCTGCTCGGCTCGGCTGCGGCTCCCACGCGGTTCCCAGGCCGCCTCCCCACGCGCCGCCAGCATCGCTCGCCCCGCCGCGCCGGGGCGCTTTTACCTTCTTTATATTTGCGTAACAATGGCAGCCCGTGACGCGCGCGCCGGGCGGCCCGGGATTGCCGCGCCCACTGGGGGCGGGGCGTGGGCGGTGCCGGGCGCGGGGGTCCGGGCGGTCCCGGCGGCGGCGCGCTTCGCGGCAGGGGCGCTGGTCGCCGGAGCGCCGGGCGGGGGAGGCCAGGTGGCCGCCGGGTGTCCAGCTCCGTCGCTGCCGCCGTCCGCGCGCCCCCGGCCGCTCCAGCGCTCCTCGCGGTCGTCCCGCCCCTTCTCCCTCCGCCACCGGCGGAATTCCAAGCTCCCTGCGCAGCGAGACCCAGTTGCCCGGTACCCCGACGCGCGCCGAGGTGCCCCGAGGGCGGCCTCTCTCCGGTTAGGGGGTTCGCGGGCATCTCAGGCCGTGGTGGGGAGAGACCCCTTGCTGAGCGGGAGAGCGCGCGGCGACCCCACCGGCCAGCCGGCGCCTCCGGGCTCACCGTCCACGCGGGTGTAACTCCAGGCCCTGACATGGGGGCCCTTCAGCCACGCGGGTCCTTCCCGCGCGCGGGCAGCCTCATGGCCCAGCCGCAGCTCAGCCTATGTGTGGCCCACCGTACCTGGATGCGAGGGGCCCTCGGCGGCCCACCTGCGGGGCCTTCCATCGGCTGCGGTGAAGGGGGTTCCAGCTGTCCTGCCTCAGAGGAAGTCGCAGGGCGGGGGCGGGCGCAGCGGGAGGGTCGGGACTGCGGCCTGCCTCCCTCTGCTGCCCACCCACCAGCATGCCGGACACATGGGTCCTGCCCAGGTGAGCAGGGCCAGGTGTGGCGCCAGGGCTGTCTCAAAAGGGAATTCTGAAACGCCTGGCTTCCAAACTATAAAACCCGTTTTTATTGACCACTCTAACAATTGACCAGGAGGCACCAGCAGGGGAAGCACAGCGCATTTCCTCATTAGAGTTTTACAGTTTACAGCTAGCTGTGGTCGCTGGAAATTAAGGAGGAGTGATTCTCAGGCGCGGAGCAGGAGGCCAGGCAGGCTGGGGCTTGAATTCCTTCTGAAGCCAAACCGGGAATTCCGCGCAGGCAGCTCTGAGCTCGGGCTGGGGAGACCCCCCTGCCAGGCCTTGTCTGGGGACGCTCCTGCCCGCCAGCTCCATGCCCCCACATCCGGCTCCCCACAGGGGTGTGTCCCCACCCCATGCTGTGCTCACACTGGCAGGAAAAACTGGGCAGGCCCGCTTCGGGACCGACCCTGGCTGACTGGAGCAAGGTCCAGCGCCCCTGGGGACCTCCTGGTGGCCTGGGAACCTCTGTCCCTCCAAGGCACAGCTTAGAGCTCACTCTGGTCTTCCTGGGGCCGCTGGTTCTGTTCAGCCCTCTCCCCTGGGCCTCACTGCTTCTCCCAGGAGGTCTTAAGGGGGCCACAGAGGGTGGGAGGGTGCTTCCCAATGTGCAGGTGGGGTCATAGTGGAGTCCCGGAGTAGGTCCCCAGCAGAACAGAGATGGACACTGTGGAGTCCAGGCCTGGTGCAGAGATGGCATGGCCCAGACTGCCGTGCTCTGTTGGACACTTTTGGCCTCTTAAGGAGGGATAGCCGCTGGGCTGCCTGCTGGTCCCTGGTGCTGGCTGCGTCTCTGGACCTCAGACCAGGGCTGGGTGTGCAGGGTGCTCTGAGCTCACGGTCAGAAGGACAGGAGCTCAGTCCTGTGCATTGATGGGTTTTGTGCATCTGCCCAGGGCCCAGCCAGGCTAGACTGGCAAGAAGCAGGGGGCATGACTGGGGGGTGGGCGGAGCCCTTGGTGCTCAGCAGGCACAGGGCCTCCACTGGAAGGTGGGTGGTTTGCAAACAGGCCAAAGCCCAGGTGGGCTCAAGCCGGGCCTGGAGAAGGCATTTGGCTATGCTGTGGGCCAGGAGCAGGGCCTGGGAGAAAGTCCCGTCGACATCCGTGGCGGCGGCAAACAAAGGGGCCCTGTGTGAGCTCGGTGTGGGAACGCGGGGCCTCGCCACGGGCGTGAAATCGGCGGCGGCCCCTGGCGAGGGCCAGGCGGCGCGGGCGCCCGGGCAGGGACAGTGTGGCTGGTGTGGCGGCCCTGCGCGGCAGGAGCCTACCCCCTGCCTGGGGTCCAGAGCCGGGTCAGGCAGAGCTGGTGAGGCCCGCCACTGCAGTGGGTCTGTGGCCCAAGGCGGGTGCCCAGGCTCATCTGTGGGGCTCAGAGGCCAGCCACACCACACTGCCCACAGGGAGTTCGCTGAGTGGCCCTGGTTCTTGGTGCTTCTCCACCATGACTCCAAGCTCCCCTGGCCACACCCACGGCCCTGAAGCGGCTCCATTTGAGGATGGGAAGGGGGGAGGGGCTGGGGGGCAACAGCTCCGAGTCAGCACTTCCCGAATGTTTGCTGAGGGACATCCAAAAGGTGGACATCTGTTCCAAATGCTGGGACGTGGGGGTCCACCTCCAGCCACCCAATGCTTGTGCTCGAGAGGACCCCCTGGTGTTTGCTGGTGTTGCTTGGAGCCTTCTGCTGTCTGGGAGGCCCTGCCCTGGGACCCGGCGACAGGGCTCAGCTCCGACTGTGCAGCTGGGCCCTGTCCTTCCTGCCCTGCCTGTCCTGAGGATACTGGCCCGGGGGTGCCCTGCCTGTAACCCACCCGCCCCCAGAAGGCAACAGTGGGGTCCCTTCTCCCTGCAGGCAGCCCCTTCCTTTCCTTCCCTAGAGGCTCAGAGCAGTGGGCAACATGGGGAGGGAGGTCCGTGCGGGGCGGCCAGCCCGCCTGGGAGGGCCTAGGGAGGACAGCGCAGAAGGGGCAGCTGGCCAGAGCTGGGCCGAGGCCTGCGGCCACCTTAAAGGCACTGAGCGGGGAGGGAGGGTGGCGGGCAGTGGGGGCGGGGCTTCCAGCTAATTCATTAAAATGTGTCGGGAGCGTGGGAAAGAGGAGAGTGTTTCTTCCCAGCAGCCCAGACACCTGGTAGAAGGGCTGAGAGGATCGAGATCAAATAACAAACACTCAGCCCGGGCCAGCACAGGCCGCAGCGGAGGAAGGACGCCCGGGCAGGAACTGCCGCAGACAATCCCTGCAACCGGTGGCTCCTGCCCACCAGGAATGGCCGCTCAGGGCATGGCCTGGCACTGGCAGCCTCAGCCAGCCGGTCAGCCTGGTGTCTATCCCCTAGCCTGGGAAGCAGCCTGATGGGTGCTGACCCCCAGTGACCGAGGCTGGATTCCAGCACCTGGCCTGGGGTGGGGACTGAGCAGACAGCCTCACCCCCACCAAAGCCTGGGTCTGGGATGGACGCCGCAGAACCAGGCCGAGCCTGTGCTGGGTAGTGAGGGACGTATGGAGGCGGGAAACATATGGCGCAGCACGGCCATGGTGGGCAGCGGCAGAGCCAGCCAGGAAGGATGGAGGATGCGTGGTTTCTGTCTCCTTGCGGCCTGTGCACTGCTTTGCCTGCCTCTGCCGAGAGCCAACAGCAGCACTCAGGCCTGCGCTGGGAGCAGTGTCTCCAGGACGAAGCCAGGCCGGGTGGAGGGTGGGTGCCCTCAGCCACTCCCTCTTAAACCCTGCCAGGCGGAAGGAGTTCGGTCAGGGGCTACCTCCTCAGGACAGGATGTGGAGCTGGGGTGCCCCTCCCGGAAGCAGATCCCAGTCCCAGAAGGCCCTGACCCTTTCCTGGGGTCCTGCTCTCTCACCCTGATGCCCCCACCTGACCGGCTCAGGCCCTGCGGCTGCCCAGCAGGTCAAGGGGGCAGGTCAAAACCGGACAGTTGGCTCTGACACAGGCCAGGCCCTCCCCATCTCAGCCTCACCCTCTCCATCTGTGACATGACACCCCTGCCGGGGTTGCTGGGGGCTGAAGGGGCTGGGCTGCAGTCCCTAGGGGTACCCAGGGGCAGTGGCCAGCCCTGGTGTGGCCGGGAACCCACAGGGAGGTCCTGGCTGGGCCAGTCCAGGGATGCCCAAGGCCTTCGCACCCGAAACCTGCTCCTTACTCTGGGCAGAGGCAGCTACTTCTCCCCAGCCCCCAGGACCCTGCTGCCCGAGGCTTCCGCCCGACTCCTCGGCCAAATCTGAGCTGATTTCCGCTCCAGGCAGGAAGCAGAGGAAAGGGATGTGGGTGATGGGAGGGGGCACATTCCTGGGATGGCCCCTCCCTGGGCTCGTCCTCCTCTCCCACCTCTGGGGCCTCCTGCCCTCCCTGCTCCACCTGGCAGAGCACCCTCGGACCCTCAGGGTGGGCAGCAGTGGCTGCCTGGGCCTCAGCCTCCTCCCAGACAAGGGCAGCAGCAGCTACGTTCAGACAGCTGTGAGGACGGAGACGTTGGTGCCCACGCATGCAGAGCCCTGGCCGTGGCTGGCTGCCCAGGTGCCTCTAGCGGGGCTGTGGCTGCCATTCTCCCACAGGGACCACACAGCCCTGACAGGGGTGATGGAGAGACCTGTGGGTCCCACCGGGCTAGAGGTCCCAGCATCCTGACCATCTGGAAACCCTCATCTTCTCCCGACAGCTGCTCGGGTTGGGACCCCGCCTCGGTGTTCCCGGCGCTTGCTGGCACAAAGAGGGACCCACGAGGGGTTTGTGGGGCGAGCATGAAACACGTGAGCAAGTCCACGGCCGTGGCCCCAGCAGTCAGGCACTTTCCATGTTTATTGTCTGGTTGTCCTCAGAAGGGGCTGCTGGCCCGGCTGGGGGCTGGGCTTGGCTCACAGGGGCTGGGGGCGCTCTCCAGGACGTCTCGGAAGTGGGTGGCAACACGATCCAGGTGGGAGCCATCCCAGAAGACCTTTCCACAGCGCGTGCAGCAGTAGAAGTGCCGCAGGCCGGGTGTCCTCAGCACGCCCACCGGGACCCCTGCCAGCTGCAGCCGGGTGCCATTGGTCAGCATGTCCGGTGTCTCCGCCCGCAGGTCAGCCGCCTGCAGCCAGCGGCAGGGACGGTCATAGGTGCAGCCCCCAGGGGCTGCCTCTGGGGCTGGGCCTGGACAGATAGAAGTGGACTCCCTGAGCCCTCAGCCTTCGGGCACGGCCCCCAGGCTGCTCCCAGGGTGGCCCAATTGGCGGCCCACGCTGAGCCCATGCTCACTCCTCAGCAGCTCCTCTTGCTACCTATCTGCTGACCTTGCCTCCTCCACTTCCTCCTCTGTGCCCACTTCTCCTATCGAGGGACCCCACCCCTCACCTTGTGGGCCCTAGGGCCCCCAAGAGCCCCACAGAGCCCCCAGAGAGCCCCCTCTGTCCAGCCGGGACCCAAGTCCCCCATTCTGGGGCAAGTCGGGTCCGTGGAGAAGCAGCTGTGTCCTTGGTGGGCGGTCCCGGGGCTCACCTGGCTCCTGCACCTCCTGGCTCTGGGTGGCCTTGTCACCTGTCAGTCAAGGATGAAAACTGGTCTGGGACTGTCCTAGGGATGGGGCTTGGCAGCCACCAGCGTCCACGACGCAGCCATGTGGCTGAGCACGGTGACCTCATGGTGTGCGGCCTCTTCACGCACACCCCAGCCTTCGAAGACGGCAGAGGGCAGGGGGCCAAGGAGCTGTGGTACCGGCCTGGTCCCCTCCCTTGGGAACTCACACCTCAGAAAGGTCTTGGGGCTCAAAGGTCCCTGGGAAACATGTTCTAGGCGCGAGATCTGCTGATTAGGGCTCTTGGGGGCCTGAGAACCAGCAAGCGGGGGCGGGGGCAGCGATGAGCAGATAAACCCACTGCCAGTGGTGAATTTCGAAATCAGCCAGCGCAAGGGTGGGCGGGTGGGCAGGGCCCAGGGACTGCCAGGCTCAGGGTCTGTTGGAGACCCTGGGAAGCGGCTCACGCTGGCCCTGTGAGGCCCCCCAGTCCCCAGTGAGAGCCCAGGGCAGGCAGGGCCGGTATCCACCCAGGGGTCACTGCAGGGCTGAGTGCACGACGGCCGAGGGAACACTGGCCAGCAGGTGGGAGAGGCGTCTGCCCTGCTCCTGTTGACCCTCGTAATTTGCTCAGCAAGCATTTCTCTACAGATGGCTCCGGATCAGCTACAGCCGGGGATGAATGCACGAGGCCCCCACCCCAGCCCCAGCTCCTCCTTGAAGCCCAGGAGGCCATGACCCTCATCTGGCCTCCCTGCCTCACCCCTCCCTGGCTGGCCCCAGCTCTTACCCTACAGTCCGTGTGACACCTGTCAGCCCATCCGGGTGTTGCCCACCACCCTGGGGCGGCGTGTGTGCCGTCATGTGCTGGGACTCTGGCCTGAGTGTGCCTTTGCGAGCGTCGGGGCCTGAGGTTGGAGGCTACCTCCAGCCTCACTCTCCGGGGTGTGCTCTGCTGGCTGCCTGGGGTGACGGTTGGTCGCTCCCCGTCCTCCTACCCTGAACTTGGACTGACCCTTTTTTTATTTTTATTTTTATTTTTGAGACAGAGTCTCGCTCTGTCGCCAGGTTGGAGTCAGTGGTGCGATCTCAGCTCGCTGCAAGCTCCGCCTCCCGGGTTCACGCCATTCTCCTGCCTCAGCTTCCCGAGTAGCGGGGACTACAGGCGCCTGCCACCACACTCGGCTAATTTTTTTGTATTTTTAGTAGAGACGGGGTTTCACCGTGTCAGCCGAGATGCGTCTCGGGATCTCCATGACTCGTGAGGTCCGGGCCCCTCGGCCTCCTAAAGTTGCTGGGATTTACAGATGGTGAGCCACCGCGCCCACGGCCCATGGACTGACCCCTTCCTCCCCTATTCCCACCCCCCCCTTCTCAGTCCCCTCTCCCCCCCCTGCGCCTCCTCTTCTTCTCTCTCCCTTCTGATCTTTGAATGGATGACTGTGAGCGTCTCTCTCTTTCGCGCGGGCCGGGCTCCCTCCGGGCGCGCTCCTCCCGAGACGCCTCGGGTTGGGCAGTTCTTAACAGTGGCGTGGGGGGCTGTGTGTGATTTTGTCTCCTCCAGCTCTCCTGGGTCTAATAATCTCTATAATATCAAGCGCGGTGGGTGGCCTGCACCCTCCTTGACCAGGTGTATGTAAGTATATAGCTCCGCCTCTGTTAGTTCAGCAGCCAGGGAAAGGGTTTCTGTCCTTGCCCTGTTTTGTTTTTTTGCGCGACACGTGTGCTCGCGTGTGCTGGCGTGTGGAGGGTCTTTGTTGTTGTGGGTGTGTCCGCGTATCCGTGTCTTGTGTGTGCCTGTTTGTGTCCAGCAGAGAGTTATAGGTGGGTGTCTCACTCTCTCTCTACTCCCAATGAGGTCGCTCGATGGTCGTCCTTGTTGTCTCTGATTTGCTCTCTGGTCTGCCACCGCACAGGATGAGTTGTAGACTCTGAGGTCCATGGTCTGGTGCTACGTCTGTACCTCCGCTTTGGCTTTTCCACCGTTGGTGTTGTTGTCCATATATATCCTCTCTCTCCTCCTATGAGTCTTATGCTCTGACCTAGGACAGTGTTTCTCTCTTCTTTCTTTTGCCCCCTTCCCTGGGTACCCCAGCAGGTCAACCCATCCCAGGCCCCCACAGACCCAGTGGCCTGACCCTGACGCGACTCACCTGAGGCTCGCTGGCCCCCTCCTGGGTGCGCTGAGTCACGCATGAGCTGCTTCATCACGCTCCGCTTTGCGAGACCTTCAGGTACTGGTCACAGTTGCAGGCCTGGGGGCCCGGAGGGGGGTTGCTATGAGGCCGAGGGGGAGGGCTTGCGTCCAGGCTGCCCGCGCTGTACCCCAGGCCCGTGTGGCTATGTTTCTTGAAGGTTGGGTCTGGGCCATGGGGTTTCACAGAGAGATAATGCGTCCCGCCTCCTGTCCCAGCACTAGTTCTGTGGTTTCAGCCCACATGCCGCCGCGCCTGCGCGCCCTTCCTGACTGTGCTGCTTCTCGTGGGGCCCGTGGGAAGCCTTCTCTGTTTTTTTGAGAACTTTGTGGAAACTCGTCCGCCAGCTACCTCTCCGAGTCCCGAGTAAACCGTCGAGGCGCAGAACCGCTGGTCCCCTCGCGGGGGGCCAGCTAGCGCTGGGTGGTTTGGGAACATAGTCCAGCTTAAGAGGGTCAGCGTGGGCAGGCCCTCATAGTCGGCCCCAGACCCTTGACCTGTTCATTTCGCATCCACATTCTCTGTGATACCCCTGCCTGCCAGTCCCAGTGTGCCGCCCTGGAAGATGGCGCTGGCACGAGAGATTAACTTTGCCTTGTCCAGGCACACAACGGCCCCCGTGGCCTGCCACCGTTTTTTTTTTTTTTCTTTTAGATGTGTCGAGTCTCACTGGTCACCCGGCTGGAGTGTATGGTACAATCACAGCTCACTGCAGCCCAGAAACCCCAGGGCTCAAATGAGCCTCCCACATCAGCCTCCTGAGTAGCACACCACCATACTCAGCTAACTTTTGTATGTTTTGTAGAGATGAGGTCTCACTGTGTTGCCCAGGCTGGTCTTGAACTCCTGGGCTCAAGTGATCACCCTCCTGGCTTTCCCAAAGTGCTAGGATTCCAGGTGTGTGCCACACCCAGCCCCTCTGGGTGGTTTCTGAATATGACCAATCTGCCAGGCTTACTGTGATGCTGGGGGCGGGGGCAGGGAGGCCGGGACCAGCTTACACCCCAAGTCATGACTTGGAGGGGGGTGCACCGCCTTCCCAGTGGTCACTTCCTGGACAAGGAGACGGGTCGAATCCCCAGGACTCCCCAGGCAACACCAGGAGGGGGCTGGGTGCCCACTGAGAGCCAGGTCCCAGGCAGGCACCCGCAGGTCCTGTGAAGGTGTGGCCTTCCCGTCACAGCCCTTCTGATGTCAGAGCACCCTGGGGAGGAGGTGGGGCTCCCAGGCCACCTGTACGGGGGAGCAGGGAAGAGGAGGCCGAGATCCATGGTCACATGGCTATTCCAGGACCCCTCCCCATGCAGGGGCTTTGGGTGAGCCTCGGATGACATGGCTGCCGCAGGCAGGTGGCCTCGAGGCCCCTGGAGCCTCTGGGTGTGGCCATGTTGGGGGCACTGGCCCTGTCCCACATGCTCTTTTCCCCTGGGCCTTTCGACAGTAGGAGGCTGCACTACCTGCTTCCAGCATTGTAGCCCCCACCAGTTCAGAGGCCGGAGGCTGGAGGTGGTGGACAGGTGGGGCTCTTCTGCTAGGAGGCCCAGGGTGGGCTAGGGAGACAGGACCCTCCCTTCCTCTTCCCCTAGCTCCCATCTCTCCCCCCGGGAAGCTCCTTGTGCCATGATGGCAGGTCCTGTGCCCCGGCCTCTGGGCCCAGCCCAGATCTGGCTCCAGCGGGCTTTCTGGGCAGGTGTGCAGGTGGGGAGCCCTGGCTGCAGGTCTGGCTGGGAAGCGCTGAGAACAAGCAGGTGGTCTGCCCTCCACAGAGCCCCCCTCTGCACTGTGCAGGCCACCTGCAGGGACAGTGCCAGTGGGTGTGGGAGGGGCAGCGAGGGTGCAGCAGGGCGGGATGGGCTCCCCACGCCCCCAAGTCCTCCACATGGGGTCTGGGGCCTTCCCAGGACCTGGGCCAGGTGCGCACGCCTGGGCGTGGCCAGCCAGCTCGTGCTGAGTCACCGGGTGCCGTCAGTGAGGGCCTGGCCCAACCCTCGGGAACCACCGGTGCTGGTTTTCCCACGGCTGCTGCCCGCTGTGGGCCTTGTTGTCACCCACAAGGCCCTGGGAGGCCCTGCCCTGGCCAGGGCTGGAAAAGCCGGTTCTGGGCCCGCTTGCTGCGCCCGCCCTTGGCCCTGGGCTCCCCAGCCACAGGGGGGCCTGGCACTGGGGGCCTCCCTGTCCATCTGTCCACTCCAGGGCCAGCAGCCCTTGCTGGACTGACTGCCCTGGGCGGGTGGCCGCCATGGGCTGAGGGAGGCTGTGGCTCTGCCCTTGTGAGTGGAGCTGGTGGCCCAGCACACGTCTGGCCTTCAGACGGTGATTGTCCACCTGAGCCCGCCTGCCTGATACCGTGAGACCCGTCCCCCAGCACTCGCGCTCTGAGAGCCTCTGCCCTCCCATTTTGAAGAAAAGGGGCTTCTGAGGGCTTCCTCAGTCGCAGGGCACTTGGCAGGCCAGGACCCCATGCCAGGGTTCTCACGCCACCTCCCTCCATCAGCGTGGGACACACAGACGCCCACTCCAGGGTGCCGTCGGATCTGGGCAGAGACGAGTGGGGCCTGACAGGGACCCTGAGCAGAGGCCAAGGCTGGGGGCCCAGAGCAGCACAGCGGGGCGCCTGCACACCTCCACCCCTCCCCCCAGTCTGAGAGCCCAAGGGCAGGCAGCCGCCGCCCCCCTGGGAAGCGCTGAGAACAAGCAGGTGGTCTGCCCTCCACAGAGCCCCCCTCTGCACTGTGCAGGCCACCTGCAGGGACAGTGCCAGTGGGTGTG